CACCATTTAATTCTTCCAAGTTACTGGTTTTATCTGATGACATACATGGTGTAGGGGGTGGCAGAGGGAGAAGCTGTTAAGAGCATAGGAGAGAAATGTGAATGCTGAAGGACAGTGTTTGGCTCCCTTCTTAAGATAATTTGAAATGAAGGAACTGAACTATTGTAGGGAAAATATTTGATGAACCACCCATTTTTTTGAGGCCTGCATTCTAGATGTATTCTGTATGAGAACTGCCCTTGCAGTTCTTCTGTGCAGACCAAATGTTCTTGCAAGAAACTAGTGACCAACTTTGTGGTGGGTGGTGAGTCACAGTAGATTTCCGGAGAGTTGATAATGTGCTTGTGTATGATATAGATTTGACTGTGGGGAGCCAGCTGATACAATATGGTCAGATTGCATTAAGCAGTGGTTTTAAGAAACTCTCATGGACCTCTGGGCCTGAGGAAGTGAAGAGGTAAAATTGTGTGTTTGAAAAATTGTTGCAGTGTGGCTGAGACTTTCTTGCAGCATTTCTGTGATTGATAGTCTAGAGTAGATTTAAACACAAAACATTAGAAATAGATTTTAATGCTAGTTGACCACATTAGAACAGATTTGTCTTTTTTGGGTTAGTGTTCCACATTTAGGTAAAACATAACTCTAAAGTTTTCCTTTTGATTCTCTTTGCTCTTTGCTTGAAAAATGTGTGGCTAAAAGAGAGACCACTAACTACTTAGTACTTTTTGAATATGTATTTAAGAATAAATGTAAAATAACTGATGTGAGAAAAGTTAAGTTTTGGCTAGCACAGGGAAGGAAGTTTTTGTTTTGTTTTGCTTTTTTGCATTTGGCTTAATTATGTGAGTTAAAGTGAAAAAAACAATTACCTTTCTTGAGAGTGGAAACACTCTTAAGTTATAACGAATATGACATTGACCTTGGCCAAGGTGCTTTAGGAAGTACAGAATAACTCTGACATGGTATTGTTCCTTTCCTTAGAGCTTATCTTCTTCTTTTCTTTTTTTTTTTTTTTTAAGACGGAGTCTCGCTCTGTCACCCAGGCTGGAGTGCAGTGGTGTGATCTTGGCTCACTGCAACTTCCACCTCCTGAGTTCAAGCGATTCTTGTGCCTCAGCCTCTTGGAGTAGCTGAGACTACAGGCACACGCCACCACACCTAGCTAATTTTTTGTATATTTAGTAGAGACGAGGTTTCACCATGCTGGCCAGGCTGCTCTCAAACTCCTGATGTCAAGTGATCCACTGCTCTCGGCCTCCCAAAGTGCTGGGATTACAGGCATGAGCCACTGTGCCTGGCAGAGCTTATCTTTTAGTAGTGGAGATAAGGGAAACAGAAACAGTTTCATAGTTTGGGTCAGAAAAATATAAGAATATAAAAATATGAGATCATAAACAAGCCATGGTCTTTACTTTTTTAGAACAGCTGTATTGAGACATTGTTCATGCCCCATACAATTCAACCAATTCAGTTATTTGTAGTTTGCTCCCAGTTGTACAGCCATCAGCACAATCAATTTTAGAACATTTTCATCAGTCCTGAAAGAATGCTGTACCTGTTAGCAGTCACTCCTTGGCCCTAGACAACACTAATTTATTTTGTCTCTATAGGTTTCCCTATTCTGGATATTTCAAGTAAGTGGAATCATACAGTGTATGGTGTTTGATGACTGGCTTTTTTTACTTAGCATTAGCTTCATACACAGTGTAGCTTGTATCAGTTCTTGATATAGTTTGGCTGTGTCCCCACCCAAATCCCATCTCGAATTGTAGCTCCCATAATTCCCTTGTGTTGCGGGGGGACCCAGTGGGAGATAATTGAAACATGGGGTCAGTGTCTCCCATACTGTTCTCATGGTAGTGAATAAGTCTCACGAGATCTGCTGGTTTTATAAGGGGAAACCGTTTTCGCTTGGCTTTCCTTCTCTTCTCTGCCGCTATGTGAGATGTGCCTTTCGCCTTCTGCCATGATTGTGAGGCCTCCCCAGCCACGTGAAACTGTGAATCCATTAAACATCTTTCTTTTGTAAATTGCCCAGTCTCGGATATGTCTTTATTGCAGTGTGAAAATGGACTAATACAGTTCTTCATTCCTTTTTATTGCTCAGTAGTGTTCTGCGCTAGGGATATACCACATTTACCCATCTGTCAGTTGATGGACATTGGGTTGTGTCCACTTTTTGGCTGTTATGAGTATCCAAATAATGGTACTGTGAACATTTGTGTACAAGTTTTGTGTTCTCATGGGTATGTATCTAGGAGTGGAATTGCTGGGTCAGGTGGTAACGCTGTTTAACTTTTTGAGGAGCTGCTGGACTATTATCCAAAGTGACTGTACCATTTTACATTCTCAGTGGTAATGTATGAGGGTTCTAATTACTCCACACCCTTGCCAACCCTTGTGATGATCTGTCTTTTTGATTATAGTTATCCCAGTGGGTGCGAGGTGGTATTTCATTGTGGTTTTGATTTGCATTCCAGTGTTGAATGATATGGAACATCTTTTCTTGTGCTTATTGGCCATTTTTGTATCTGTTTTGGAGATGTATATTCAGATCCTTTGCCTATTTAAAAATTTGATTATTTTTCTTTTTTTTTTTTTTTTGAGACAGGGTCTTACTCTGTCACTTAGGCTGGAGTACAGTGTTGCCATCACAGCTCACTGCAGCCTTGATCTCCCTGCCCCAAGCCATCCTCCTGCCTCATCCTTCTAAGTAGCTGGGACTACAGGTTCCCACCACCATGCCTGGCTATTTTTAAACACTTTTTTTTTTTTTTTGTAGAGACAGAGTCTCTCTGTTGCCCAGGCTGGTCTCAAACTCCTGCGCCCAAGCAGTCCTCCCAACTTGGCCTCTCAAAGTGTTGGGATTACAGGAGTGAGCCATTGTATCTGGCCTATTTGTCTTTTTATTATTGAGTTGTAAGGGTTCTTTATATATTGTGATGCAAGTTCCTTATTAGATATATGATTTGCAAATACTTTTTTGATTCCCTTTTTCACTGTCGATGGTGTCCTTTGAAGCACACAAATTTTTAATTAAAACGTTTTTTGTTGTTTTTAGAGACAGGATCTCTTTTGTCTGGGCTGTAGTGCAGTGGCACAGTCATAGCTCACTCTAACCCTAAACTCCTGGGCTCAAAGGAGCCTCCCACCTCAGCCTCCCCAGTAGTTGGAATTATAGGCATGTACCACCATTCCTGGCTAATTTTTGTTTTTTTTTAGAGCTGGGGGATCTCACTATATTGCACAGGCTGGTCTTGAACTCCTGTCCTTAAGTGATCCTCCCATCTCAGCCTCCTAAAGTTCTGGGATTACAGTCATGAGCCACCATGCCCAGCCCCAGAGTTTTTAATTTTGATGAGGTCCAGTTTATCTTGTCTGTGTTTTGGGTGTTCATTTCCTAACCCAAAGCCATGTGGATATACACTTATGTATTCTTCTAAGAACTTGATAGTTTTAGTTCTTACATTTAGCCCTTTGATCTGTTTGGAGTTTTGAATATGATGTGAGGTAAGGATCCAACTTTATTCTTTCGCATATGGATATCCAGTGTCTCACCATTTGTTGAAAAGACTGTTCTTTCTCCATTGGGTTGTCTTGGCACCGTTGTCAAAATCAATTGACCATAAACGTGACAGTATATATTTCTGGACTTTCAATTCTATTCCATCGATTTATATATGCCTTGCCTTCTGTAAGTACTGCACTGTCTTGATTACTGTGGCTTTGTAGTAAGTTTTGAAATTGGAAGGTGAGTGCCCTCTTTTTCCTTTTCAAGATTGTTTTGTCTATTTTGAATTTTTTGCATTTCCATATGTATTGTAAGACCTTGTTGATTTTTGTAAAAAAGCTAGTTGAGATTTTGATAGGATTGCCTTGAATCTTGTAGATCAATTGGGAAGTATTGTCATCTTAACAGTATTGTCTTTCAATTCATGAACATGCAGTGTCTTCCCGTTTGAGTCTTTAATTTCTTTAAAAAGTTTTTTTTTTTTTTAAACTGATATATCACAGTTGTACTTATTTTTGGGGTATATGTGATGTTTTTCTTTTCTTTCTTTCTTTTTTCTTTTTTTCTGAGACAGAGTTTTGCACTTGTCTCCCAGGCTGGAGTGCAGTGGCATGATCTCAGCTCACTGCAACCTCTGCCTCCTGGGTTCCAGCAATTCTCCTGCCTTAGCCTCCCAAGTAGCTGGCATTACAGGCGCCCACCACCATGCCCGGCTGATTTTTGTATTTTTAGTAAAGACGGGGTTTCATCATGTTGGCCAGGCTAGTCTCAAAGTCCTGACCTCAAGTGATCCACCTGTCTCAGCCTCCCAAAGTGCTGGGATTACAGGCGTGAGCCGCCGTGCCCGGCCACATGTGATGTTTTGATACATGTATACAATGTGTGATATTCAAATCAGAGTAATTGGGATATCCCTCACAAGTCTTTAATTTTTTTCAACGATGTTTTGGAATTTTTAGTGTACAAGTCTTGCATTTCTTTTACATTTATTCCTAAGTATTTTAATATTTTTGATGCTATTATGAATGAAATTGTTTTCTTAATTTCAGTTTCAGATTTTTCATTGCTGATATATAGAAACACAACTGATTCTTATGTATTCTTGTATTCTGCATAACTTGTTCTCAGATTTTTAGTGGATTCTTTAGGATTTTCTCTGTCTTAGGATTTACTTCTTCCTTTTCAATCTGGATGCCCATTGTTTATTTTTCTTGCCTAACTGCCCTGATACAGTGGTGAGTAGAAATTGGGTAGCAGACACCCTTGTCTCATTCCTGATGTAGGGTGGGAAGCCATCCAGTCCTTCACCATTAAGTGTGATGTTAGCTGTGGGTTTTTGTTGGTGCTTCTTATCAGGTGGAGGGAGTTTTTTAAATTCCTACTTCATTGAGTGTTTGCATTATGAAAGAGTATTGAATTTTTGTCAAATGCCTTTTCTGAAATAAATTACTTTTTAAAATGACTATTTTTTTTTGTTTTCTATCTGCAGAGATTGACTTGCATACCAAATGTGTGGTGGATGTGGATGCAAACAAGGTTATTCTTAGTCCTGTAAATACGAATCTTTCCAAAGGAGATGCCCGGTGAGTTAAGAAACAGTGCTATGCTCAATGGATGTTTAAGTAACTGGAAGCAACTGTGGCTGCAGAATTAAGTTGCATTGAATAGATACTGAATGCTTACCCTGTGGAGACATATTGCCGTCTTCTGCGAGCCTGTACTCAAGTTGAAGAGATGAAGTCTATACTATGGGATGACAGTGTGCCTGAATTGAGTATTAGAGGTAGTAATTGTATTAGAAGCACAGAGAAGACAGTGAGTGTTACGTTGAGAAGTAATTGAAGGCTTCTTGAAGGAGGTGCAGCTGGCTGGAGGATTAGCTAGGATGTAAATCAGTTCCTTAGCAATAGTGGCTTTTACTTCTGCCAAGTTCAAATGCTGTCAGAGCCCATTTCAAGTGCTGTCTTCATGAAGGTATGCCTGCAGCCCTCAGTGATTTATTTCCTCTAAATACCTGTCAGTTATAATCTGTCCTACTTAATTTAATCATAGATTGTTTTGGATTGTTACTTCCAGCTGTACGGTGGATTTTAATGTCTTTGGGGGAAAGACTCAGGCTGAAGATGAATATTTGAGCATCATTTCTAGATGTGGATGGTAGTATGAACAAAAGGGAAGGGGAGAACATGAATTTGGGGCAAGAAAAGATTATTTTGGGTTTTCTTAGTAAATGGAGGACAGTAAATAAGCTGGGATCAGATTACAGAAGACCTGGAAAGCAGACGAGGAAGTTTGGCCTGTGCTTTTGTCAGTAAGATTTTGTTTTTGACAGTTTTTGAGTATTATGACTGAGGATCAAGGAGAATTAGGAAAAGTTGTTGATTGGCAATGTAGAGAGAGGGTCAGAGCGGGGATAGGCTGACCTTTTGTGGAGATCAGCTGTATCAGAGATGTTTTCGTACTGGCCCTGACAGTGGAGAGGACAGGTGAAAGACGTTTGGCATGAGGCTTTATGCAAAGTAGGATTCATAAATCCTTCTAGAAACAGTGCTGTATTTGGCACTCTGCAGATGTTCTTTTGAGTTGTGTTTAATTGAGTTGAAAAGAGCACTGGATTTGGAGTGAGAAAATCTGAAATCGAATCCTTCATTATCTTATTGTAGTGAGTTATTTTTAATTTTTTGAACCTGTCTTACATATCTCACAAGGGTTTTTTTCCACAAAGATCAAATAAGTGATTTTTAAAAGATCTTGCAAAGTGTTCTGTACGGGGGCAGGTTTATTGTTATTGATGTAGAGACACATCAAAATGTACAGCTTGATGAATTTTCATAGTGAACATACTCCTTGTAAGTGGCACCCAGATAAGAAATAGAACGTTACTAGCATGGCAAGAGACTACCTCAGGAGAAGAAGTTTTTCTTTCTTTTCTTTTCTTTTTTTTCTTTTTTTTGAAGCAGAGTCTCACTCTGTTGCCTGGGCTGAAGTGCAGGGGCATGATCTCAGCTCACTGCAGCCTCCGCCTCCTGGGCTCAAGCAATTCTCATGCCTCAGCCTCCCGAGTAGCTGGGATTACAGGAGTACACCACCATGCCCAGCTAATTTTTGTATTTTAGTAGAGACAGAGTTTCGCCATGTTGGCCAGCCTGGTCTTGACTCCTGACCTCAAGTGATCCGTCTGCCTCAGCCTCCCAAAGTGCTGGGATTACAGGTGTGAGCCACCACACTGGGCCAGTTGTTACTTTTTTTTTTTTTTTTTTTGAGACTGAGTCTTGCTGTGTTGCCCAGGCTGAAGTGAAATGGCAGGATCTTGGCTCACTGCAACCTCCGCCCCCAAAAGGTTCAACCGATTCTCCTGACTCAGCCTCCCTAGTAGCTGGGATTATAGGTGTCCATCACCACGCCCAGCTAATTTTTGTGTTTTTAATAGAGAAAGGGTTTTGCCATGTTGGCCAGGCTGGTCTTGAACTCCTGACCTCAAGTGATTCGCCTGCCTCAGCCTCCCAAAGTGCTGAGATTACAGGCGTGAGCCACCACACCTGACTGGTTACTACATTTTTAAGCCAAAATGTATTCAATACTTGAGTATACATGTCTACCAAAAAATCACCTAGTTCTAGAGAAATTTCAGCTTTTCAAGGTCAGAAACTTTATTTTACTCAGTTTGCTTAATGTTGAGTGGAGTCTTGGGGACTAACATGCCATCTCTTAAGGAGACAGGCAGGACCTCTGATTTTATGTTTACAGTGAGTAAAATATTAATCTCAGCAATCCACTCTTCTCCTTCTTGGTATCAACGAATTGGAAAACCAGGTCAAAACATTGCTGTGAACATAGGATAAGAATGAAGGGACGTTTTTGTCAAATATGGAAAAGATAAATGACAAACTCTTCCTATTCCACATCACTGCTGGGAGCACTCTCGTGACTGAAATACTTGAATCCGCCAGATCAGTGTAGTTCTTCTGTGTATAATCCTGGATACACATGGAAACATTTTATCACTTATTTGCTCATGCAGAGCTGTACTGCTTATACTGCTAGAACAATTAATATCTTTTTGGAATTATCTTTTTCCCCTCAATTAATTTTCTGGATCAGTTTTTGGGATTTTCTAAATCTTTGTCAGCAATATATTTCTAAATTACTTCCCTTTAAATGACTAAATCTTTATGCCTTGTTTTATTTGAATTATATCTTAAAACTTAAAACTTTTATCCTATAATAAATTTTTGTTGTTGTTTGAAAGCCATGGTGAGATTGTAATAAAACTTTAATGCTTGTCACCATGGTAGGGAAAGTAGTTTCTTTTTGTTGTTGTTGTTTGTTTTTGAGATAGGGTCTCCCTCTGTCGCCCAGGCTGGAGTGCGGTGGCACGATAAAAATAGTTTCTTAAGCTAAGTTTTATCTTCTGTTTTTGCTTCTTTCTCTCCTCTACGCACCAAACAGGCCTTTCTTGCTAACTCTGGCTAAAAAGTTAATTGGTATACTTAAAATGTTGCCTTAAAAGGGATTAAGGTGCATTTTCTCGTGGAGAGTGGGAGCCTCCACTGTATGAATCATTTGTGTTATAAAAGTTGAGGCATAGGTGAGTTTGGAAAATGGAGTGCATCTTCCCATAGGAAATGTTAGTTTCAAGTGAAAAGTTTAACCTAGTGACCTAGTGTAACCCACAACTCGAACATACTTTTTTTTTTGTCTCATATCTTTTTTTAAAAATATATTTTGTCTCATATCTTCACATTTCACTGCAATAATATTAAGTAGTTGTGTACTCAAGGGCCGAGACTGAGTAAAATGAATAATCATTCTTTCTGCTTTGTGGAGGACATTCTTATGTGGAAAAGGCTTTTTTTTTTCCCCCTGCTGTGGGTGCGTGGTGATGAAGCATACAATGACTGCTGCTTTGCTGTGGTGTCTTCGTGCCCAGGGCACCAGCAGTTTCCCCTCCATCATGTTCATGCCACCAGCACAAATGTCAACACAGCAAGGAAGGCAGATGCCTTAGTACTGTTATGTAAATAATCCCAACCTCCAGACTCTCTGAAAAGCTCTGGGGAACCCCCAAGAGTCCTCAGACTACAATTTGAGGGGTTTAATCCAGTTTATAAGTTTCTAAGAAGCAAGTAGATGTGCCTGGTTTATTTTTTTAAAAATTTATTGAGATATAATCATAATACAATACAATCCACCCCTTTAAAGTGAACCATTCAGTGGTTTTTATTACACTTACTGAGTTGTGCAGCCTGCACCACTATCTGCTTGTGTACGTTATTTTTATCACCGTGTTAATTAATCCACTTTCTGTCTCTGTAGATGTGAGATTTGCCTGTTCTGGACATTTCCTATAAATGAAATCATACATGATGTGGTCTTCTGTGATTGGCTTCTTAGCATCATGTTCTTGAGGTTTATCCACTTCGTAGCATTTATCAGTACTTCATTCCTTTTAATAATGAAATAGTCTGTTCTATCACATTTTGTTTATCCATTCATCTGTTGATGGGCATTTGGATTGTTTCTACTCTTTTGGCTTCCTGGATAATGCAGCTTGTGTACAAGTCTTTGTGTGGATGTGCGTTTTCATTTCTCTTAGATTCATTTCTAGTTATGGAACGCTTCTGGGTCATATGATAACTGTATTCTGAACATTTTGAGGAATTGCCAAACTGGTTTCCAAAGCTGCTGCACCGTTTTACATTCCCACCAGCAATGCGTGAGAGTTCCAGTTTTTAAAAACTCTGATTTACTGTAAAGAAAATGGAGGTAACTCTGGCTAATTAAAGAGTGCATATCCTGCCTCAGGGCATTCAGATTACAATGAAAAAGCAAAACCAAACATAGTGCTGTCCAAGCTAAACACTCCTGGCCAGATTCAGCCCTTGGCTACTGATTTAGAACCCTGGGTTCTGGTAAACTGGATTCTGGTATACTTCTCTATTGAGCAGTACCTACTTATTTTAAAACAATGTTTTGAAAAATTTGAGCAAAATTAAAAAATATGGTATACAAAAAGTTCTACAGAAGGAAACACTTTTATGTACCTATCAGGTTAACAAATCCTTGCCAATGCAATTTAAACCTATGTGAACTGCCTTCTGTTCACATAGGAACCCTTTCCCTCTCCACTACAGTTCACCACTTTCTTAAATTTGATCTTCTTTCCCATGTATTTCTTTACATTTTCACTTTATGGAGGACCTTCTTACGTGGAAAAGACTTGTTTTTTTTTTTTTTCCTGCTGTGGGTGTGTGGTGATGAAGCACACAATGACAGCTGCTTTTCTTAAGCATACTTGTAAGTTGTTTGCCCAGTATTATGTGTACATGAATGCCTTTTTCTAGTGAAAGGCCAGATGGGTGACTTGAAAAAGTTTCACTATTCTTATAAAATAAAATGCATGATTTTTAAAGACCAAAAAAAAAATGTTAAAAGGAGCTAAAAATAATATCACCCACTTAGCTTGGGGAAGAAAGCTCAAACTTGGTATTTTATCAAATTTCCTGTTCCTTCTTTTTTTCCTCTTTTGTGTTTCTTTTTCCTTTTAGGTTCCAGGGGTACATGTACAGGTTTGTTACAAGGA